TATATAAAGGGACACCAAGGTATGTAATAGGGAGGTCGCCGCAGGCGAAGCCAGTAATCTCGTGGACCCGCTGAGCCCTCCTGTCCGCGCTGGAAGTGGAGAGGGTGAAGGTGCTCTTCTACACACTGACCAGCTGACCGGTGACCGAGCCATAGTGCTCCAGATGGCGCATAAGCTCGACCAGGCCATCATCATCCGCCCGGGTGAAGATGATGATGTCATCCGCATAAGAGAGGTGAGAGATGGGAGGACCATAGCCACGGGTGTTGTAGGTCATATGAGGAGAGTCGCGGATGAAGCCGTCAAGGCAGCGAGAGAGGTAGTCCTCCGCAAGAACGAAAAGGGAAGGAGAAAGGGGATCGTCCTGTCTAAGGCCTCTATAGGAGGGAAAGAAGTCGGTGGGGCTGCCATTAACCCGCACCGAGAACGTGCAGTGCTCCACGCACGCCTCCACAAAACTGATCCAATGCTCAGGAAATCCCATTCTAGCCAGTGCCTCCCTAAGAAACGGCCACTCAACCCTATCATACGCCTTAGCCATATCTAGCTTCAGCGCAATATTCAGAGCCCGCTTTCAATCCACATGGGAAATGTCGTGGATCATCTCTTGGGCCAAAAGGATGTTATCACTAATGACCCGATCCTTGACGAAGCCACTCTGGTTCGGAGAGATGAGGGAGGGGAGAAGGAGTGAAAGGCGGCTGTTAAGAATCTTCGAAATGAGCTTGTTGGTCACGTTACAAATGCTAATGGGCCTGTAATCGGACCAAGAGCTCGGGTTGGGTCTTTTGGGGATCAAGACGACAAAGGTAGACGTGAAGGAATCCGGCATCCGGTGACCGGAGAAGAAATCCAACATTGCTTCCTCGACGTCAGGCTTGACTAAATCCCAACAGACCTGGTAGAAGAGAGATGAGAAACCATCCGAGCCAGAAACGCTGTTGGGATCAATCCCGAAGACAGCATCCCTACCCTCCTCCCTACTCGGGAGCTCATAGAGGCTAATAAGATCGACCGAAGGAGGGATGGTGGGGAAGAAAGAAGCGGTCGGGGCAACAAGGGTCCTTCTGTCAGAGGTGAAGAGGGTCTGGAAGTGAGCAACAGCCGATTCCCGAATCTTGGACTCCTGGGTCGGGAATGACCCATCAGCCTCGATACTGTGGATATACGACTTAGCACGCTTCTGCCTAACGTAGCCCGGGAAGAACCTAGTGTTCCGCTCGCCCTCGGCCACCCAACGAACGGCCGCCTTCTGCTTTCAGAAGTCCTCCTCCATAATGAGTCGGAACTGGTACTCGGCGTGGCAGCGGTGCATCACAGTCCTATTCTCCGGAGTGGGGTCCAGGTCATAGGTCCGCTCAGCCGCCGCGTGCGCACTCTGAGCCGCAGAAAGGCGCTGATGAAGGTTTCCAAAAACGTCCCGCTCAGCCGCTAGGTTAGTTCTCTGTAGTTGCTAGGTTAGTTGTCTGTAGTTGCTAAGAGCTGGTCCCATTTTAAAAGCTGGGCGCATTTTAAGAGCTGGTCTCATTTGATCCGCCCCCTATATATATATAATTATAGATTGTCGTTGTGTCCATTTTAAAATATAATTATATTTTTAAATAGATTTATTGATACATAAATGTTTCTTAGTAAATAGGACACATAATTGTCAAAAAGGTGGACAATATTTTGGATTATAATTTTAAGAATTAATGTACACGATAGGAAGGCAAAAAAGGTAAAACAATATTTAAGCATACAATTTTAGAAATCAAATTTCACGCAACATGATGAAATACGTTGTTTTAATTTCATTTAAAAAAATCTTTTATAAATAAGTCAAACCAACTAAACAAAAAACTAGTATGAATCTCGTGCGATACACTGGTAAGAGATATCCATTAATATTTATTCAGAAATTCGATTTGACTATAATGTGATTCCATAAAATAATTATTTTAGTAAAATTTTATCATATATTTAAAAACCAATGTGAATAATAAGTATAAATGTAAAACTTATATTGTTTCATTAATTAAAATGAATTTATTTCTGTATAAAATATCCAAATCAAAAAATTTAAGTAGTTGAGTAAAAAAATCAATCATAAAATTATTCATGCTAAAAAAATCGACACTCTTTCTCATGCTAAAACAAAAGAACATTGCATTTCTTTTTTTTTTTGTTTTTTTCAAACGGCATAAAATATCTCATAAAAAAACCCAAAAGGCAATGTACAGCCCGAAGCCGGGAAACATGAGAGGTTACACCCATAACCAATGTAACCTAGACGGAATACCAGCTAGCAACGCTAGCAATACGAGCACACTACGACACCAACTGAACCTAGAAACACAACAAAACAATACATAAAGGACCCCAATTACATAAAGAACATTGCATTTCACACAAAAATTATTTGTAATGTCGTAACAAAAAATGAATTAAATCGAGACCACTAATTACACAAAAACAAATTGACCAAGCTTCTTTTATAAAAATAAAGACATCGATACACGCGCATTATACCAAAATATTGGATCATATTATTTTGTCGAAATTACAAAAATTTAATCATGTTAATTTTATACAAAAAATAAAAATTAAATTGAAACTCACGCCTAAAAACCAATACATTGGCATGCACATTACAGAAAAAAATACATCGTATATTGATTAATTTTTCAACAATTTTTCTAGCAAAAAACAGTCATCAAATCTAAAATAAATTTGCTCACTTTATACCGCCTATTGATTAATTTATTTCCCATAACTACAACCATCAATACCAAAAATAAATTCGTCCACTTTACCATATATTATTAATTCACATGATTTGAGTAAGTAAGGTATCTTAAATTATGGCTTAATTGCTTTCTTAAATAATGAGCTGCAATTTCCATAAGTGATCATTTGATATATACCATAAATTGTTAAATTAATTTCCCAAAATAGTAAATTGATTTTTTTGGAGGAAAATAGTTACTATTTAAAAAATAATATATATATATATATATATATATATATATATAT